ATCGTCATCGTCATCGTCGTCGTCATCTTCGTTTGCCGAATCATCATCATCATCGTCCTCATCATCATCACTCGTTTCGGTATGGGAAGAGGCTTGGCCGGCAACTGCGGAAGCTATGCTGTTCGAGTCAACGACTTGGACTGATGCCGCATTGCCATTACCAGCTAATTCGTCATCATTTGGCAATGGAGACAATAAGGTGACAGTATGTGGACCATCTATGTCAGAAAACGACGATGACGACGAGTCCCCTTCCTCGACGGCTCCATCGTAGTCGGCGTTTGTCGGTTGCTCACCGGCAGTTCCTGAAGGGTAGTCCACCGATTCGCTTGCCGATTGTCCTAAAGGCGTGATCGTGCTGGACACCGATCCAGATATCGGCACCACGGAAGAGACCGTTCCCGGTGTTTCATCATCATCATCATCATCATCATCACTATCTGTCGATAAACCGTCAACAATGTTAGCTGTCCATTAATTATATAACCATAGATTAAGTTCGCGTACCAATACGTTATAATCTATGGTATTCCAGCTGATCGGTCAGTAAAAACGTTTACAACTGTATTTTTAGGGTCATTATTGTTAATCAAAAACGACGTATAAAAAACATCACACTAACTAGTTACTAAACATGAAATTTCAAAGTATTGTCTGTCTGCTAAATTTTATGCAATCTAGTATGAGCTTTAGAATGTGGTATTATATTACTATACAACCCTTATTTCACATTAGACAATTGTGAATTTTATTTAATAACAGTTTTTTTAATTCTGGCCGATCAGTTGGTGTGCTGTTTCGACAAAAATTTTTTAATCATATAATATTAATAATAACTGCAATATCTATTTACTTAAATGCTGAGTTAGTGTGCGTTAATGTACTGGAACAGGAAACTTAAAAAAAGATTTATAATTAAAAACAATACCACATGAAAAGGTTTCCTGGTCTGCACACAATACCGGTCACCATCCGAGAATACCAAATACTATCAGCCAAAAAATAAATAAGTATAATTACTTAGAAGCGTTTAATTACTATTCATTAATACCATGTACGGCATACCTTCACCATATTTTGGTACTTATATTTATATTCTCAGCAATGGCGTTTGCAATAAAATAAGAGCAATTGGTTTATAATAATATAGTAAAAAATATAAATCAATTTTAATGTTATAAAATCTGTTTATTTGCTGAAATAATCGCTATCACAGCCATGTTTTGTTTTTCTTTGATAATAAAAAAAATAATGTTTGTTATGACACTCGATTATTTAAAGTAATATTTAATCTTATGCTATTGAACACGAACTTACATTTTTTTGTATTAATGACACTATGTATTCGTGTGGTGTTTGTTATTATGGTAACAATATTGTCTCAAAAAAATATATTTTAAATCAGTAATAGCAAAAATAAATTTTGAATAATTAAAAAAAATCATGTGTAATTTAAAGCGGCGAAAAAATAAATAAATCTATAATAAATCTATAATAAATAAATAAATAAATAAATATTAAATAAATAATTAAATTAGAGTTTAAAATAAATAAGTTTGGTTTCTACAATCTTAACTCTAAGTTTTTTTATTTATATGTTTTTGATCGAGTCCGTTAAGTAGTGAAATGTGTTTTTCGATGTTGTTTTTTCACATGTCATTTACAAGTGTATACATAGGTCATATGTACACATTGTGTTGTATTATCTTGATGTTATCAGTGTTTCTGTAATTGTTTAGTTTCCCGTGGTCGATCTAGTTCGATCAACCTAAAAAAAAATAAACAGACACACAATGCCAAATTACACTCGTGTCACAATCATGTTCAAAAGCCTACTACAATCTTGTCACATTAACTGACCAAGATCTACACACGTCTCCCCCTCTTTTTCCCGTGGGAAATCTTACGGAATGACCAAAATTTGTCCTCGTTAGATTTTATGATAGTAAATGGAAATTTCAAAAAAATGTGTTATATTTAAATATTCATCGTTCTGCTGATGTTCGTACATCACTCATGTTTAGCGTTGACAAATGTAGGTTAATATATAAATGAAACATTGAAATTCATATTTGTTAAAAATTCATCGGGACGAATTTTGGTAAAGTACAAAATGTGTGCAGTAAAATCTTAATTATTTAAGTTAGTGCTATTTTTTGGCAATTAATAAATTAATTTTATAGCTTATAAAAAAAAATGATTGGTGTTCAACATGACTAGTGCAATAGTGAATAAAAATGAAATATTGAACTTCACTTTTGGTGCAAACAAAATAGTAAAAATGCCATAAAACATATTTGTCTTGTAATTATGTTTTAAAGTTTTATTTTGAAGCATATTTTGCTATACCTAACGCTTTGAATTGTTAATTTTATCTCGTTATAGTATGTATAGTATTGTGACAAATTTATCATGTTTCAACAAACAAAAGTCAAGTATAAGTCATCGTCAAATTGTTGTCGAGTTTTGAAGCGGTAGGAGGTATTTCATAATTTATTTATATTTAGTAAAGAAGCAACTCTTTTTATTGATCCACGTGCTTTTTTTTTTTTAACTTAGAGTTTGTAGTATTTGGAATTGAGTTTTCAAAATCTATTGTCTTTGATTGATCATGGCTGTAAAATTTAACCGTAAATACATTATTATTAAATCTGTAAAATTGATGATATTACAGTAGATCTAAAGTTTTAATAATTATCGAACTTTGTTGTTTGTAATCTAAAACTTAAATGCGTTCTTGTTTAGGTTGATAAACGGTTGTATTTAATACGGATGTTAATTGATTTTGAACGATTATCGTTTTTGTAAACATTTTTTTAATTTTGTTTAAAAGGAAATTTTTATGCTATTATACTGTGCTATAATTTTTATAGTTTCAGTAAAATCAAATAATAACGATTTTGTATTCAATTGTTAATATATTGTCATCGGAGAACATTTCTTAAAAGATTTTCTTTTTAATCGATTATGATTAGAAAACGATTCGATTCGTTTGTCCGCTGTGAAATTATCTATGTTATTATTTGTCGTCGTTGTTACCATAGCTATTATACGATTGGGAAATCGTCCGCGGGAAAGCGATGCGGCGTAACGAAGAGTCGTTCATATTTTTTAAATATACCTCGATATTATTACACGGTCAATAACAAAACGCTTCAAGCGCGTGGATCTAGGGTTTGTCTCATTGAATGGGTCGACGGCAAAGAGACAAACAAGACTGCGACTATGTACCTTTCTACAAGCAAAATAATGGTATAATAGTATTAACATAATACATTGTTAATCCTGATTTGGTGGGTTATCAAGGATTACATAAAAGTATTATATTAATATTATTATAAAATATTATTTTATTACATTTGTGTGATATTGTGCGAAATTTAACGCTGTGCTAGTTAAGTGTTTATATTTTAAGAACTACATTGTAAAAGCTACAATTTCCCATTTGACGGAAGAAAGAGAGAGTATGTAGAAGAGTAGTAGACCCTAAAAATATTTTAACAACATAATAAGATTAATTCCAACGTAAATGTTGGTTCGATACTAACCTCCGAGGATGTCATCGAAGAATCTGTCGAAGTAGTCATCGTCTTCATCGTCATCATCATCATCATCATCATCGCTGGTCGATGAGGCTTGTGTAGCTGTAGGTGATCCACCAGCGTTGCCACCGTTTACGGAAGAAGCAACATTACCGTTGGCACTGGCTGGTTGTGGCACAACATCAGCTTGTTCTTCGTCGTCTTCTTCGTCATCGTCGTCGTCATCATCGTCATCATCATCGTCATCGTCATCGTCGTCGCCGGTGATATCTAAGTCTAAGACATCATCATCATCATCGTCGTCATCATCGTCATCGTCGTCCGTGGACGCCGCTGGGGCTGATGGGGCGGCGGCTGCGACAACTGGCTGTGGTACTTCAGATACTGGAGCTGGTGAAGCTGCTGAGCCTGACGATTCTGCTGATTGTCTGCCGCTGTCTATTGGGGTTGGAGCTACCTTGTCTGTTACTTCGGATGAACTTACCAATCTAGATGGTTCTTCGGTAGAGATAGGTGATGAGCTGGCGGTGTAAATTAGTGCGCAGCACCCAAGGGTTACGATCAATATCCACTTAATCATCTGCAAAAATACAAAACAAATTTTATCGCTTAACCACCTAAGCATCTATCACCTATGGTTAACAATGATTATTGCATAAAAAATAATATTGAGCACAAAATGATATCTTATCAACTCAACAATTCTAAAAATATGCAAATAAAACAGCTAAAAATAATGATAATGATTTATCTTATTGCTTCTTTCAATAGAATATGATTTAAATGTATGCAATATAAATTCTACTATTGAAAAATCTTACATAAATATCATAATGTACAGTTAATTCATCAAATTTTTAGATCCCAAAAAAATTTTTAATTGAATAATTGAAAAATAAAATTCAAACAAATCGTTTTTGGTGAAACATATTGACGTAAATATTTTTTACACATTTGAGTTTCAATCAAATTGCGTAGCTCATTTTATATGAATTATTATTCCAACAGACNAGTTTCAATCAAATTGCGTAGCTCATTTTATATGAATTATTATTCCAACAGACATTAAGTTATATATTTGACAAAATAGTTGAGAAATTTTTTATTGTATCGTTTATTTTGTACATAAAGATTTGTTTTTTTATCATAAATGATCAAACAAATCTTGTACGTTTTAAACATATTTAAAAATTATCAATAAAACATTATGGAATTTTTTAATTAATTTTTTTTTTGTAATTTTGAATAGTGTCTATTGGAAATATTCAATTAAAAGTTAGTCTGCGAAATAAAATTTAATTCACGTTTTAATACACATTACACAACGCAAGTGCTACCAGATGATACTATTTAACTAATATATAATTATTTATTTTATAACGATTTCTAATGTTACTATTATACCAACGTGAACCTTGTCCAAGTTTAGCCACGTACATTTGTTTGAGTTCACAACAAATCTAGTATGACCATTACCCGTAACCTAAGAAGAACCAAGAACCATAAGAG